GAAGCTCGTCAACTCAAGCCTTGAAAAGCCTTGATTTCAAGCCACTTGCTTTAAACACTTGCTTTAAGGCGATTTTTTCATCGTTGCACCGCAATTCATAAGTGCTTAATTGGGTCAACAGATTTTGACTTCAGTCTGGATTATTTTTTATTCCCTAATTAATTACTAACCCTTTACTGCAAGGTTTCTTGCCATTTCAAGGAAGTTTTTTACCTCAAGAAAATGGCCTTACTTCTTGCGACATATAGCCACTTTAGAAGTGGTTTTATATTGCTAATTACGTGGAGTAGGTTGTGCCTGATTCCCGATAGGGTGGTCAAGAAAGAAGAATGGAAACGAGAAGCAAAGAATAGAGGTTGTTAATTGCAGGATATACGAGATTGCTATGTCCCTTGCTAATTGATTCCTTAATGATTTATAGCTTTATCGAAAACTTAGAGTCTCGCAAACTTTAAGCCTGGTTTTCACTACGACATAAGCTCGAGCACAAACATAAGCATAACGGTAGTGAGTACGCCCATAGCATAAGCATGAGCATGTAAGCATAGGCAAATTGGATAATTGCCCGATTAAAACAAGATGGCGGACTTAACAGCTAACAGCAGAGCGTTCTCACTTGCAATTGGCACTAGCAACAACACGAACAAGCACAAGAAGAGCAATAATTTTTGCTTGGCTTGTGCTTGTGCTTATGCGCAGTGTTGTACGCGTCCTCGCTACCGTGTGTTTGTGCTTGTGCTTATGTCGTAGTGAAAACCAGGCTTTAGTGCCCGGGTCTTACATACTGCTCAGTCTACATCCGTGCGCCTTGAATAGAGATAAATAGACTGAATCCCGCGACAAATTCAGTTTAAGTAAGCTACCGTTTGTGGCGGAAGATTGCTGGCATCTACTACGCAACATGTACATGCAATGTGATATGATCTCAAAAGTTGATTAATTTGTTGCTGATGCAGCTTTTATTTATCAATATTTAGAGAGAGGAGAATGGAGAGTGACCTTTGTTACCATGGTATCATTTAGGAAATTAGAAATTTATTTTGTTTGGTGTTTTTTTTGTTGTTTTTGTTGTGTTTTTTTGTTGTTGTTGTTGTTTGTTTGTTTTTGTTGTTGTTGCTTTTTTTTTTTTGTCGGTGCTGTTGAAGTCAGGCCAAAGAACAAAAGAGGTATTTTTTTCTTAGGGAGGAGGGGATTGTCCTGCAATCTGTTACACTTTAACAATCACCCAACACGTTTTGTCTCTTACCTACATCTATAATTAGAAACAAACAACTTTCTGTTACAAAGCCTGACTGGCAGAAGCATCGCGATGGAAATTGATTTTTTTCGCGCAAGGTAATCCTCGCTCGTTTTTCAAGAAGACAAAGTTTCAATTGAAGCGAATTCTAGATGCAATATATCAAACACGAAAGACCGTTTTAGAACACATTTCCAAACACCGCGAAGAAAGTTGAAAATACGACGCGCAGCGGGGTATCATGATTTTTGACGGACTTCGGTTTGTTTGGAAATGTGGTCAAACAGTCTTGGGTGTTTGACTGAATTATCTTCTCAATCAAAACTAAAACTAATTAAGGAGAAAACGGAGAAATAAAATCTCAAAAAAATCTATGCTAATCAAGATCAGATATCCAAACACTTTCACGGTCATGATTTCCTTTGTTTAAACTTGATGAAATATCAGTGAATGAGTTTGAGAACATTGCTTCATCCTCGGAGTCACAGCCCAGTTACAATAAAATGGTTTACGCCATTGGTATTAACTACTTGTGCAAATTTACTCTGATAAGGGGATAAATTTTACAACTTAAGATGCTGCAGCCTTTACTGGTCCATCTACGATAGTAATCAAGTTTGTGAGTGACTAATGTCTGGAAACCAGACCTTTAATAAAGGGCGAGGAGAGATTGGAGCTGGAGGACGAGAACTGTCGACAATAGCCTGACCATCAGAGCACGTGATCATCCAATTTTTCCAAACTTCTGTTATACTCTTCTGTCGGTGACCAATTGCGCATGTTCAAACCATGCACATTGTCCTTTTCTTCACTTTCCATATCATGCGGTGAAGCAACTTTGTAAGAGCCAGCTTTCCTGAAGATAAAAGACCCATTACGATACGCGTCCCAATTCCTTTTAGAGAAGTTGAATGTCAGTCTTGAGAGACGATTCCCCAAGCGTAGTTCCTTCTGGTAAGAGCCACAATGACTGATCACCTGACGGAACTCTTTTCGAAAGTTTTGGCTAAGCAGCATGTACAAGCACGGCTCTATAGCGCTGTTCGTATGTGAGATCCACAAGAGTAATGGAAATAGATAAGCTGGCATACGAGCGTAAAATTCGCTCTGGAAAGTGATGAAATAATGCATAGCGTGAGCTGGAAACCAGCAGAGTGCGAACACTACAACGATCATAATCAACACTTTGACTACCTTGCGCTTCGATTTCTCGACCGTTTCCCTATAATTCTGAGTCCGTGATAGGCCAGGGACTTTTCGATGGTAGAGTTTGTAGCAAATAAGCGCGTACAAAACAGCGATAGCGAAAAGAGGCAGTAAATAGAGCAGGACAAATATCAGGCTATAATAAACCTTAGAGAGAATAACGGCCCTGTGCGATTCTTGACCAAAGTAAGATACGCAAAACCATTTTCCATCTGGCGACGATATCACTTTGTAAATTGCCAACGTTGGACTCATAAGAATTGCTGCGCAAATCCAAATCGTCGCTGTCATGATTTTAGGTCTTCGAAACACCTTGGCTTTTAATGGGTGAAACACCGCAAAGAAACGATCTATAGAGACCACCAATATGGTGAGAATAGACGTCGCAATGGGGAATAGAAACAAATACTGGGAGAGTTTGCAAGTGACGGTTCCCGCGGTCCCCGCGTGCCAGCGGTGTTCGTTGTACAAGAAAAAAACCGACATTGGCATAACAATGAGAGTGATGAGTAAGTTGGAGCAGGCCAGGTTACCGATGAGCAAGTGAGTGGCTGCTTTCATGCCACATTTTCTGCAGATGATATAAAGTCCAAGAGCGTTTCCCACAAATCCAAAGAGAAAGGAGACTGCGTATAATGACGTTATCGTGATCTTGATATCGTGCGTCCATGATCCGGTGGAAAAACGGCCGTGGTGTGCAGCATCTGAGAAGACAAACAGAGGTGTGAGGGAAAGTGGACTGCAAGCTGTGAAATCCGTGTTTTAGATATCCTGTAGAAATCTCAGCAAAGCCCACTGAAAAAAGCTTGACCCGTGTAAGCACATGGCGATCTAACCAAGGAAGGGGGGCTGGGGTTGGTGGTCTAAAGAGGGGAATAATCACGATAAACTGCGATCGTTCCAGAACAGATAATAACACCCAGGCAACACATGATACACTTGCAGAGTGGTTAAATGTAATATTTAGATGTGGAAATTTCCCCAATCTTAATGATGTGGTAGTCATGTTTAGCCCATTTGGGTTTATAAACTACATATTCAAAAACTAAATATACTCATTGCATCTTTTTGATATTGTGTCGAGCGGAATAAAGATATTGTTGTTGTTTTTCTCCAGCTGAAAACGCGAGATTCTGTGTTTTAGGATTCCCCTTATTCATTTGCGTATTGACTTCTTTTGATGCAAGCGCTCCAACGTGAGGAATTTCTTTATTCTCGTCACCAATCTTCATAAGAACATCAGTGCAATACACAGTACCAAACAAAGCAAGAAGAATTTAAACGATAACATCCTTCATTGATTGGATGCAATGAGCTACTAATCTTGTACAGTGTAGGCATTACGCCATTTGCCAGAACAGCTCAACTTTTACATTACTTCAGTCCTTAATATTAACTGTAGTATAAGTGATAGGGTACACTGAATAGACTTCTGTGTTTCTCAGCCACTCAAGTGCCATTCAAATAGAGATATATTTTCCAAACACGTTCAGTCGAAAGCTTCAGGCAGTTTCCAACGAACTGAATAACAATAGTAACTAACTCCGCGAGTATAGCTTTTGTGAGTGAAAGCCTTTGTTATTGTTTGCAGTGAGAAACAGTGAGGTTTATTATCATTCAATTAAGCCGAAAGAGTGACCGTTTAAGTGCGTTTTGCTTGTTTAAGGCCCGTCCACACTGTGCATGAGGAATTTGAAAACGCAGCTAAAATTCTACGGTTAGGCCCACGGTCCACACAAATCCGTCACGAAAACGGAGCTTTTCGAAAACGCTTTTTAATTAAACCGGAGGAAGTTGAAAAAGCCAGCTTTTCGATTCGTTTTCGTGTGGACAGAAAGCATTTTGAAAACGGAGCTTTTCGAAAACGACAATATCACGATAATGGTTTGATTTCTCTGACTCGGAGTTTTTTTCCAAACACAAATCAAAAATAACCTGGCAGTGATGGTTGCTCTTCATAATTCCTCCGGCGTAATGTGGACGGGAAACATTTGATGCCTTTTTCAGAGTGAAACCTCCGTTTTCAAATTTCTCCGGCGTAGTGTGGACGGGGAGTAAAATGAGTGTTGTGATAGAAGGTAGTTCTGTTCTGGTTTGTACTTGTTGGTAAGTGTTTTTAGACGCTAAATTTGCTAACTTTCAATGCACTTACAAGCTGAGTTGTTTGTTTGATTGAAAGAAGAATTTCCTTCCAAGGTCATGTTGAAGTCCTGTCAAAATCGCCTGTAAAAATAGTTTTAAGTTGAGTTAGAGAAAAATAACAGGCTTGATTGTGCTGTTTAAACAAGAAAATAACCATCCAGTCATGCGATAGATCAATTCAAGGCACAAATTAATCTACATACCAATTATTTTCCCCTCCCTTTACTCAAGGTTGATATGATAACAACTAATAAAATCTGAACGAATTCAGTGTTTCATCGATATGTCATACAAATGGTTAGGTAAATCCTGATTGAATTAAAAAATAAATAAGCAAGTCGGACCACAACATAAATATGGTCTGCAATGCGTGCGTATATCTCGGACTCCATTCCATTCGCATCGGTAAGCGTTTGAACTATTAGGGCTAAACTACAGAATACAGGGCCACTTTTCATCATCCACTAAACGAGCCGGCTCGTTTGCTCCTCTATCATCCACTGCCGAGCCAAACGAGCCACTAACTATATAGACCTAGGACTTAACGTATATATATGGATTATTCCTCGTTCTTTCATCCACTGCCGAGCCAAACGAACCAAACGAGCCAAACGAGCCACTAATAAATATATCAGACCTAAGACGTAAAGCATATATAGATTATCCCTCGTTGTTTTTTATCCACTACCGAGCCAAACGAGCCACTAAATATATGCACCTTCAAAGGTCACCCAGAGTTGTGTAGTTGCTCCGAAAATAGTATATACAAGGCTGTCAGACTGTATTTATGCTTGTGAAGTTTCTGTTGGGTACAGAAAACATGCCACAGACCTACTCTAGGTGCGCGAAGCTCGCATTTTCGAGGTACTCAATTAGATCGAAAATTTAATAGGTATAACAGAGTGCATTTCAATTAAGTGTCGTAAAAGACCAAACCAATTACTTGCCAATTAGACTACTCAGCCAATCTCAAACGGTAATAAAAACAAAAACCAAAATAAATGACTACATAGAAAACCGCTTTATAGTTTTTCGCAAGTCCAATGGCACTATTCCAGAATGATTGCCATCAATTACTCTATAAGGGAGCAATAGCCTAAGAGGAAAAGAGACTTTGTTTTCGTGTCAACATTTTTCTTGTAGATAAACGCTTATCTATAAAATGAATAAAATTTCGCGTTAATTGAAGTCTTTACCAAGACCTGCCGACGTATTAACGAGAGTTAATCTGATCGTGACCTGAGAAAATCACAAGGTGTGGCTCGTCTTGAATTTTTGTTTCGAGACGTTTTGTCAGCTTAAAATTAAAATAACTTAATTTTATCTTGATTTTAGGTTATCGTAAAAATTTCCAGAAGGATCTTGACTCGTAAAAGTTCAAGATGAACCTTTTGATCATCTGATCGAGAATTTCACTTCGTTTCTTATTTTTAAACTATGTTTATAGAGACTGGAGAACGCCTTTCTAAAAACATTGTTAGCGTTCATATTGACATTCTTGAGATAAAACTATTGAACCTTTGCTAAACGGAAACCGCAACAAAGTCATCATCTTTAATTTCTGTGGGAACAGGTCCATGGCTGTCTTACGCTGAACAACAGTCGGGACTATGGCTGGAACTGAACGTGCTTCCACATTATTTTCATTAATTCTAAGTTGCGTTACTGAGAAACGTTTGCCTGATTCTTTAATATTGTTTTGATTATCCAAACACAACAATTCGCAACAAAACCATTACCTTTAATTTTAGTTGGAACAATTCCATGGCTGTCTTACCATGAACAATGATCGCGTTTAAGGTGGAAGAAACCTGCTAAACATTGTTTTCGTAAACCAAAAACGTTGTTGGTCCCTTTACGCAGACGTTTGCCTGACTCTTTAATAATGTTTTAGTTCAGATACAAACACAAAAAATTTCTAGTCCGTTCAGTGTAAACCTTCAAGAAACTTTGCGCCTGCTAATTGCGCCAAAGCTCGAGGCCTAGCTTCTAAAGTCTTTCAAAGAATGTACTTGTACTTCAAGGCTTGAAATATAAAAATATACAATCAAACTACTTAGAAGTGTTACACAACATTACCTCCGATAGTGACACTGCTAACCAGGCAGGAAAGGAGTTTAGTCGAAGCTTTGGGCTGCCGACTTCAACCCGTCGCTTAAGTTTACCATGCAGTACGTTGAACTGAATTCCCAGTCTACAAATGACAAAATCACTAGTTATTGTAGCCCTTACGATAGATGTTTAGACGCAGTCTTTGCGAATGCTCGCCAATGACTGATTTAATTTACCAGAAATACCAGCTTTACCTGAGAAAATAGAGCAATTTTGACCTGCGGGTCTTTTCAGCGTCTCTCGCACTGCACTACGTGCCAATGTCTACGAATTCGTAAAATTGCTTTAAATATCGTCAATGTTATGTCTTGCTGAGAAGATCATCCCATTACTTTCGAAGAGCAGGATAAAGGACAAATAGTATTATTTCGTGCGAATCCATCCGGCTTTTCTAGCATCAGGACTTTAATATCTTATCTCGGACTGGCCTTTAGGTCAATTTATTCTTGACTTCCAAAAGTGATCATACATCATTTTCTCCTCACAAGATGTCACTGACCAAACAGGTGACGGGAGTTAATACCGTGATTTTGCCTATACCTTATTGACAAATGCCAAAGCTAATAAAAAAAAATACTGACTTTCATTTTGTTATCGTCAAAAAAAGGAAAACGAAACGGTAACGTAACACACTGCGATTTGATCCAAAGATCAAGTCTGCTTTTTTTTTTTTTTTTTTTTTTTGTAAGGCGTAACAAATCGTTACCACATTTAAGAGCTATACAATAACTTTCATTTGAATGGTCACACATCAAGGTTTCCTCTGCAGACTTACAAGCTACATCATTTACTATGGAACCAACTTTTACAGCACAAGAAACAGAACAGAATGAGAGCACTACTCAATGGCTTTCATCTGAATGGTAACATTATAGGGCTTCATCCACAGACCCACAATCTATACCAACCTTGCGCATCACAAGAAACAACATCATAAGAAAGTTAGACAGCTCGAGAGATCTAATGCAAATCATATGGCGACGTAGTAGGCTTCATCAACAGTGTTGAAAGGTCGTCGAACCACCTTCTACACTGACGTGAATATCACATTAAACGGCCCGAGATGAAATTTCACCGTATGTGTTTCACCTCTGACAAAATTGTTCAAGGAAATAGGTGGCTTGGCTCAGGGCTAGCAAGTTCTCACCAAACGCAATATATGGATCCATCTCATGAAGGTGGCTCTATACGTGAAAAGAATTTAAATAACATTTAGAATGTATTTTGTTTTAGTCATGCAAATAGTACCTCTTACGTTTTATTTTTTGTGTCTCCAATTAGTAGAAGGGTTCTTCCTTCGGCTATTTTTATTTGAAACAGAAATAAACTTGTCTTTATTGATATTATGTTCCTTGGCTTCATAGTGTTACTCGCGTTTTTTCCAGTTTTTATGAGAATAATGAGATTTTAACTGAGAAAATATAAACTTGAAAGATCTCTGCTGTGATTTTATTGCGCCTCCCGTAAAAGATATATATCATATAGGCGTGGCATATGTTTTACGGGTTAAAAGGGGCCGACGCAATTATATTTTCCTTCATTAAAGCAGTTTAGATTCGTTGCTTCCTCTATTTTAGCCTCAAGCTGGGAAATAATATCTTCTGAATTGTGAGCAGAGAATTTGTTCGTTAACGATTCGTTAGTCGAAACCCTCTTTAATGGCCCATGCTTACTTCAGAACGAGACGGGGAGGTGCTAATTTGGTTCGCGTATTTCCGTAAAACTTTTTAAAATTGCAGGTAATAAGCAAAATTGCCGCATCATTAAACTGTAAATCAAATCTGAATGTTTGCTTATCAATATTCTTGAGCGGGTTTTCTGAACTATTGGAACATGCAGCACTACATCTGAATAGGCGTTAAGGACATTTGAAAGGCCAGTGAAATTTTACTTTTTTTATCCTTTTTAATTTTTGTTTCTTTAATTTTTTACAGTGAGTGTCATTTCAGCGTTTTTTTTTTTCCCGAATTGAGGGATTGCTCTAATAAATAGTCTGACGTCTCAAACGTGTAATGCATGTATAAATTCTGTATAAATGAAATATTTCTTGGGGTGAGAAAAACTTAAGTGGCTGTTTATCTGTCAAGATTTTAGCTGTTATAAGTGTGCGTACGCGTACTCAACTTGTTATTAAAAAAGGATCAGCCGGATTCGCACGGTTGAAGGGAAGAACCTCCCTATCAAAGATTTTATTACAAATTAAAATTTGACTATCATCGACAACAAAGTGTGGGCACTTTCGTAGTACTTAAGATTCCAGTCAAACTTCGCGACAAGTCTATAATAGGCGATATCAACAAATATACTGGTTTCATGGCTCAGTTACAGCTTTTAAAATTGATCTGCTCTGCTTTTACAAAGCTCTCTATTCACAGGCGCTGAGATATCGTTTACCGTACTTCACTTGTACATTTTAAAGTAGTAACATTCACTGCCTCACCCTTTTGCTTTCAGGGAAAATCTTAAAAGTAATTTGCGAAGTTTAACTGTAAAATTATGATATGTGACCCAACTTTGGCAAGTTATTTATTTTGTTTATTATATGATATGTTATCGAAAACCATCTATAATTAATGAAAGCTTGATGATCAGCTGTTGATATAAAGCCGTCACTGCGAAACTCTGGACACAGAAGTAACAGAGGAAAAACCGGCATGCGACCTCAATGATTTTGGACGTAAGTAAAAGTCAGCTTGTCTCTCTACTCCGGCAGAAAAAAAAAACTGAAGAAAAGCGTCCTTAGAATCATCTTCAGCTGGATCAAATAGCTTTCTATTCAAAAAGTATGTCTATATAAGGCTAATGTATGCTGATTATCTTGTTAATCTAGCATATAAAGTTAAAATCTCTTTTCTGTAATAAAGCTGCCCGGATGACTAAATGAAGAATATGAAGAAGAAATGCGGTTAACTGACATGACACATGCAGTCTGTCTTTCTTTTAATGTGTTATCATGCCACAGCCTTACT